GACGTAACACCGGTATCTCCATCTGAAAAACGCTGTTTTGCTGCTGGATCCTCCTCACTCTCCATCTCTCTGTGTGTGCTGTACGTTAACACCCGCCAGCGTCTGCAATGGTAACTGCGTTATAGTTACAGTCAAAGTAATTAGTTAGATTGCTCGTTACTAAAACAAGGTAACGGCGTTAGTAACGCTGTTACTTTCAACGCCGTTAGTCCCATCACTGACTATGGGATAGTAACAGTGAGGGAAGAGCATGGGTTTGGCTTTAGAAAGGAATGTAAACTGAATAGAAGTCAAGGTAAAGTTGCAGTAATGATAGCAAGACCTACAGTGTGTTTTTAAGGAGCACTGCACAGGTATTGCAACCCCAATATTTTGTATTGGGGTTGCATTTTAAAGACTGGGTTATTCTTGTATGACCAAAACATAGTTTACTTAACACACAGTGAAGCCTGTTCCTAGTGCATGAATAAACTCCAGAAGGGCTACCCCTTGTCACCAGTCCTGTCGGTGATGTTTATGGACAGGATCTCAAGGCCTTGTTGTATAGAGCAGGGGCCTGGTTTGGAAAACTCAGGATGTCAGTTTTGCTATTTTGCAGATGGTCTGGTTCTGTTGGATTCATCAGGCTTTCAGGATGGACTGGAGCAACTGGAACAAGAGCTGGTTCCTCCGAGTCTGAGGCAATGGTCCTCAACTGGAAGAGGGTAGAATGCCTCCTCTGGGTTGTGCCAAGTGGAGGACTTACCAGTTCATCTATGTTCCCTCATCAGTGGTCACAAAGTATGACTATTGTCTAAAGAACACGACCCATGTGGGCCGCTGACTGGACCGGACCGGGCATTCCCCCCGCCTGCGTTACCGTGCTACTGGTGTCCAGGCTACTGTCACTGGGTCGGTTTGGTCGCTCCGATACTAGCACAACTAGCCCCAGAGCTCACGGCTCGGTTCTGCTTCACTGTAGTCAACCAAAATCCCGGACGATTTTTAAATCCCCCCCAGACATTTTTTAGGTATGAAAAAAGTAGGACATGTCCGGGAAAAAGAGGACGTCTGGTCACCCTACCATATCAACAATTCGATGTTTCAGTGAGTGAGTGTTTGTTGCTATGATGCGTCTTTGCTTAGCAGCTTCGCTCGTTGTAAACCAACTAATCAGCGCACAGCTCATCTAAATGTTCATGAGCGTACCATAAAAAGAAGAAAAGCAGTCGTTTCCTTCTGGGACTAACAACCAGGCTTGCATTAGGGCTCATAGAACAGCAATTATGCCATTTTCAGGCCTACCGATGTTACACACCCTCTTCAGAGACCTTAAGTACCAGTACCAAAATACACTGTATAATCAATCTATGACCCCTTTAAGAAAAAAACACCATTAACGTGATTTAGAATCCAATTTGATGGAAAAACAGATTGCAGTGTATGAAGACGTACCAATTACATGTGGCCATGATGTGGGTTGGACTGCTCACAATTCTCTGCAGTTGTGTAGTTGTAGGTCCAACACAGGTAGACCAGGGGTCTACTTGGACCTACAAAGACACAACCTGGGTTGGATCTATGAAGCACTTTGGCGGGAATGTCATGAGCCTGACAGGAAGAGACACAGTGGTAAAGTGAAACACATCTGCTTTGGGGAAAATACATAGAATTACATGGTAAACCAGTCAGGTTCCTACACAAACATATTGTACACGTCTTGTGCGTATAAAGCAAGCATGGCTGAATGGGACATACAGAATCAATTAAACATTTCAGTAAATTAATTCATGGTAGGAGCTTAGAAATAGAGAAGACCCAAAGTAAAAAAAAGTGATCTTCTTTAAGCTTGATAGAGAGACAACTGTCGTTAAAAGCCTTGGTTGTTTATGTTGTAAAATGGCCAGTACATAATCACATGAATACTCAATCTTACCAGTTGGATGGTCCATGGACCAAAGGGAGACTACAGAGCCAGTATCAGGAAAAATGGACTGAATATGGTAGAGTCAGATGCAAGGGGTGTTGCACCCTTTAGCGATAAAATTATGAGTTGTGTCATCCAGGGAGAGCTCAAAATAGAACCTGCTTCATCCATTCCAAGGCAGTTGTGTGCACAGACTTTTTGAGAAATAAAGGGCACATATAGCATGTCCCCACAAATATAGAGGGTACTTTAGCTTGCATTTTGACTCCTAATAGGGCACTTTAGCACAGACGGTTAGCATGTGTTTTGGATCCAAAGGAGCATTTTTGGGTCCCAAGACAGCAATTGGGCCACAAGGCGGGGGGCGACCGCTCCTGCCGCCTGTTCCTGTGCATGTCATGGTTCAAAGGAGTACATTTAGGAGGTCAGAGCATCTGATTAGGCACCTACATTTGGAGATAAACCAGTCATACCATTGGAAGGAATACCTAGAGGAAGACCCAGCCATTCAAAATTTCAACACTTTCGTTGATGCGCCCTTGGCTGGTCCCCAGCAATTCCTTTTTAAACATCAATCTTTGCACTAAAATATTCTGTCATGATTTGTGTACATTAAGATCTAAAGAGAAGCGCCTTCTCCTGGTCAGATCCTGTAATTCAGTGAAAGGGTGGAGTCAGGGTAAAAATATATGCATTCCCACGAGAAGGAAGGGGTCACTCCACTGGCTGGAAGTTGGAGGGGATTTTGCTGGGAGTTGCAGGGAAGTGGGCTGCCATTTGGCTGGAGTTTGACTGGCAAGGGCCATTTTGAATGGCTGCTACTGTATATATACAGTTTGGCCTTAGGACATGGTGGGATCCCCCTGAATTAGCTGGAGGGTGGGGCCTGAGAGAAGGATGGTTGGGTTTCCCTCTTGGATGGATGATTGGATGTATTTGTCCAAAAACCATTAAATAAAGCCTGACTGTTTTCGATTAGATCATTATTTACTTGATACAGAGGATAAAGTATTGAACACGGCACCAGAAGTGGAAAAAACATAATTTCACCATAAACCGAAAAAGCATGTTGAAGTTCGTTTAAAGTTTGCTGCACAACATTTAGACAAGCCTGTGAAATACTGGGAGAATATAGTCTGGACAGATGAGACCAAAACCGAACTCTTTGGAAGCCATAATACACATCATGTTTGGAGGTCAAATGGCACCGTACGTCACCTCAACAACACCACACCAACAGTGAAGTTTAGTGGTGGGAACATGGTATGGGGCTGTTTTCAGTATATGGTACTGGCAAACGTCAAATAATTGAAGGAAGGATGAATGGAAAAATGTACAGAGACATTCTTGATAAAAACCTGCTGCCATCTACCAGGATGATGAAGATGAAACATGGGTGGACATTTCAGCAAGACAATACCCCAAACACACAGCCAATGAAACACTTAATTGGTTTCCAAGAAAGAAAATACAGCTGCTAAAATGGCCCTATGGAAAGAACTAAAGATTGGAGTTTATGGAAAAGGTCCAAGAAATATTTAAGACTTGAAGAATGTTTGTGTGGAAGAATGGGCCAAAATCACACCTGAGCAATGCATGCAACTAAGTTCACACATGAGGTGCCTTGAAGCTGTCATTGCCAACAAAGGCTTTTGTACAAAGTAAGAAATGATTTTCAGTAAAAGTGTTCAATACTCTTTTACTTGTGCAATTTCACTTAATTACACATAACTTAATTTCTGGACATGTATGGTTTGATTTTTGTTGTACGTGTGGATTGCATGGATTGTTACAGACATCTTTTGAGAATATGTCAATAGCACCTCTAGATTATATATTTACTGAGCGTTTAATACTTTTTTACCCGCTGTACATTATATATTTAATTAATTATATATTATTTTAGGTTTTAAATATTTAATAATACACTGCAGTAGCAAGTTAATCAGTTTAACTGAATAACTATTGAATTTCCTTTTAGAGTAAAAAGTTGAAATGACATCAAGAAGTACATTCACACAAATCTCAAAATCCATTTAGTCTAAGATCAAGTTTAGCAGCTGGTTTAAAGAAAAATATTTTGACAGTCGAAACAACTTTTAACAATTTTCCATCTTAAAGTCTGCTTGGTTACCATCTTTCCTCTTCATATGACAGTTCAAATAATTCACGCCGTTTATAAATACATTACATAAGGAGCACACATGAACTCAAAACCAATGACTCACTGTTCCTGTTCAGGGCAACTGTATTTTGATTAAAGACTACAGAAATCCACAGGCGAACCTTATAGATATATATATATTTAATTAGTGTAAGCTGTTATTCTAGCTCAGCTGCTATCTTTCTGAAAGTAATGCTATGGTGCATACTGTGAATTTCCCAATTACATCTGTGTCACGTTGACTCAAGTGATTGACGTGGGCGTCCACCCACTGTTTATAGAAACATGTGCCGGAAATAACCGATTTGAAAACCTTTGCGCTTGACTCAGACATTCCTATTATTTTAATGTCAAGATGTGATTACTATTATTTCAGATTTATGAGAGCTTTCTCATCCACTTGGTTTCAACCCTCTCCTCTCCCTATATAATTTGACATTACTTATCATTTTGAAGTTGTCCTTCATCCAGTGTTAAGGAGAAATCTCCAGACAAAACATTTTCTTTGAAAAATACCATTAACTCAAAAGCTCAGACAACTTCGTCTTAAATCTTTATTGAATTTCTTCCTTTCAAGTCATTAAACTGCTTCTTCTAGAGTCCATCATAACAATCAACTGTGGTAGCACCCCCCAGTGGCGGGCCATGTTTTGCATTAATGCAGCAAGGGTGTTTTTTCCAATCTGGTTCATAGAAAGTTGTTTGTTTTGGAACTTACTGTTTGCACAAAAAACACTGTATTAATTCAGTCAACCTATCTGGGCAAATAAATACTTACATATCTTGTAATATACATATATACTCCAGAAATTATAACCTTTTTCATCTGTTTTTTTTCAGACATAAAGCCATAAAAATAGATTTTTCTCCTTAATTTCCCCCATATTCATTTTTTTTACCCCAATAAATGGGTGTTGATAATATAAAATATAAAACAGTTAATCACATGTAATCTGCACATTCAAACGTATTACACTGGTCAATTGATTTACGGGTGAGAAGGAAGCTCATCTAAGTAAAAACAGTCAGAAATGCATAGACAGGAAAACAGTTAGAAGAAGCAGAATGGAAAGTATGGTACAGTTACATAAGCTGTTAATCAATCTGGTCCAACTTGTTCAAATAAAGACACACAGACAGAAGCCGTTTCAGACAGTAAGGTAAGATCCCTGGTCTCTTACTCGTGATCTACCCAGCGACTCGCGCGGTTACAATAAAGGGGGCAACTTCTGAGGGTAAAACCTTTCCACAATGTAAAATAAAGCTTTGATGGCCCCCTCTGTGTGAATATATGCCCCCTCTGGGTCCCCTCCCTTTGCTGGGGCAAAACCACAGTTAAAAAGCAGAGATGTTTATAATTGCTGTCAAAGCTCGTCTTTCTCCATCTGCTTAAAAGCCTCCAAGTCTTCCCGCCAATCAGCTAGCAGTTCATCCACTGAATGGCTGTCTGAGTCTGTGTCACCTTGAGGCTCTTCAGTCTTCTCAGAGTCTCTCTCCTGTTGGGGCTGAGCAGCATCTACCTGTGGTTCTATGGCTCTGTTTTCCTCCTCTGTTCTGACTTCTCCTGCAGAACTGACCTCCTCTTGAGCAGGAGTAACTTCCTCAGGAGAAGATTCCTCCTGCTCCTCTGTGCTCATTTGTGACTGGCTAACAGGTTCGAATGAAGTGGGAGTCGTTGCTTCGGTTTGACAGTCCTCCTCCTCCTCTTGCACATTTACACCTAAAAATGAAGCAAGGGTGCGATAAGCTATCATGCAGAAAAATCAGTACAAGTAGCATACACTTTTTTCTTTTTGTGCCAGTAATCCTAACAGGCTTCCCTTCCAGGTCAAAAATAGAACAGTTTTCATAAAGAGGCTGTCAACTCGAACAGCATGGTGCTGATGGTGAGTCATGTTTCCTGCAGGATAAAGCCTTCCTCACATAGCTGTGCAGCCAAACCGAGACGTGTGATAAATGGAAAAAATAAAGAAACTTCCCTGATAATTTTCACCCGATTCTAAGAATACAAATGATTATAAATATATATAAATGCATACGTACAAGGCTACTGTGACATTACAGAGGTTAGAAAATAGGTTAATAAATATTTTTTTTACAGCAAAAGTAAATAATCAAATCATTTACAAGGAGAATAATATTTCAAAGCAGTGGAATTATTAACACTGCACCACAAGTACAGCACATATTTGGGTGGATGGATGGAGGGTTCAATGCGTAGATAAATGGGTGGACAAATTGGTGGATGGATGGTGCAATGGATGGATGGATGGATGGATGAACAGTTGGGTGGATGGATGAAAGAAAGGATGGGTGGGTGGGTGGATGGATGGATAGATGGATAAATGGGTGAATGGGTGGATGGATGGATGGATGGACGGATGGAAAGATGGATGGATGAATTGACGGTCAGGTGGACTGACGGATGGGCAGACGGATGAGTGGATGGACGGACAGATGGGTGGATTGATGGATGAACGAATGGGTGGATGAATGGGTGTATGGCTGGACAGACAGTTGGGTGGATGGGTGGATGGATGGACGGGTAGATTGACGGAAAGGTGGACTGACGGACGGGCGGATGGATGGATGGACGGTAGGTTAACGGATGAGCGGGTTGATGGATGGGTGGGTGGGTGGTTCTGTTTGAGAAGCACTCAGAGAAGTGGGAAAAGAAGAGATCACTTACTGCCCTCAATCAGACTTCCAGGCAGAGGTTTACCTTTGAATATAGTTGCTGCTCATCAAAAGGAGTAAAAGTAACAAAAAGCAACAGAAACAAAGAAAAAGAGGGGAAAATTTTAAAGTTATAAGATATAGAGGTAAGATCAGAAGTAAAGAAATATTTGAATATGATGTGATGAATTTGCTCCACTGTGTCTGGCTCTAACCACAGGTGGTTAGCTTCCAATTATTCTCCAAATCATTTAAACATCTTATTTCATAAAACTAAGCCAATAGAGACTCAGTCAGTGGGGAGTCTGGGGCCAAGTGATGTGATTAAAACATGTAAAGAGTTATATTTGAAGTCTGGGACTAAAGGAAAGAATAAAGTCACACCTCTGTCTCTGGCTTTGTCGCTCAGAAGAACTTCTACCTCTCTGTACTCCTTCAGCGCCTCCAGCAGGATGTTCCCCTCTTTATGAAACAGGAAGAGCAGAGGCACTGTGACGTCATCTGTGCTGCGGCCGTCTCCGGCCATCTGAAACAGAGGAGCTGTGTCGCTGCTGCTGCCCTCATTGTCGTCTAAGAGAGAAGAAAAACAAAACCGCTGAAAAAATATCCACAAAAAATGATTGGCTCTAAGCTAGTTCTCTATATTACGGCTTTTAAATAAACTGCACAAAATTTGTATTCCTAAAACCAGATGTCCTTAATGTAAAAGGATGTTGAATAGAGCCTGATTGATTCCACAAAGCGCTGTTTAATTGTTCGCCCATCCTGTTGGGTCTAGCGCAATGCTAGACTGGATGTCTTGAAAGCTAATGCACTTATAGCCCACTAATCTAGTCACAGAGCATTCAGCATCTGTCTGGTGCAGCTTGCTATCCACTGACCGATGACTATGCCTCCAATGGCGCCGGCCTTCTGGATGTTCCTCGCCTTCTCTGCAAACATGCACTGTCCGCGCTGCAGCAAAGCGATGTGGCCCTGGACGTACTCGACGTTTGTTATCTCAGTGCAGCCGCTGTAAGGTTCGGCCACGGTCACAAAACCTCGTACCTGCACGACGGATGAAAGGACAAAAATGGAAAGAGGCACCAATAAATCACTCATCCATCTAAATTGAACATCTAAAACCCAAATAAATTATATTCCAGAAGAAGCTTTCTGCTAAGAAATAGGGAAAGATGTATTCATCCCTCCAGCAGAGGCACAAGCACACCCACCCCAGTGGAACTTTTGGACAGGTCTGTGCCAAACTGTGCTGGTCCAGCAGTTAGAACCACTCTGCCAAAGAACGGATGGGAGACGATCTGGATGGCTCTGGGAGGAAGCTGCTCCTTCTGCTGCTGGCTCGACAGCTCCATCATCTCCTGCATGAAACGCACCCCGTCCTCTGCTGCTACTGCGCTCACAGCCTAAATGGAGACGCCACAGAGTGGAAGAGGAGACAGTCTTTAAAGAAATAAAATTAAAATGCCTCAAAGAAACACCACAAATACAAGAGAGGGGTGACAAAATTCTTTCAGTTTTAAGGGGAACCAGCTGCGTGTTTTGGATTCTTGCTGTCATATTAACCTGAGTAGCATGCTGGACCAGCTGCACCCGGCCATCTTTCAGGTGGATGAGACTAACGCCCATCCTCCGAAGCAGCTCCAGGTGTTCAGGATTGTTCGCCATGAAGTCCTGAGCTCTCAAGGGAGGACGGCCCATGCCAGGTTCCCTAAAGGAAGAGTGAAAAGTATTGAGTAAAACCCATGGCCTTCTACAGAACAAAGCCCCTGTAACTGAAGCAGAAGAGGAGCAGCTCAGCCGTTACATGAGCACAGGACTTTGAGCTGGTTAAACCAGTATTCTCGCATACCTGTACGGGGCAGGACGGGGACAGCTCTTGTCCACGGCACTTCGAATTGGCTCTCTCAGGCTGCGAGGGAAGGCGGGATCGGGAAACATGAGCCGAGTGTTAGGACACGTCCAGTCAAAGTTGGAGTCATCCAGCTCCTCCTCAGACTGAAATGGCAGGAATGGTTTGATCATTACCGAGTCGTGCTTCAACGCTTCTATCAAGTTTCTGAAAAATGTCAATTATAAAATAAATCACCGTTCTGTTAGAGGGAATGGATGATGAGTTGGGCGCTGTGGAGAGAGACAGAGGGAGTAAATGTGCCTCTGTTGTAAAGACGTAGTCTTCCACGTCAAAGGGAATGTCTTCAGCTTCAGCAAACAGCAGGAAGAGGTATTTAAACATCTCAGCGAGGAAAAAGGAGTCCATTCTGTAAAAAAAAAAAAAAACAACAGAGGATGAAACATAAAGCAGGATTTAGTTCCTCAGTTTATTTGCTACCAAATAAAGCCCAAGGACCTGATTTAAGTTGACTAGGATCTTTGTTCTATCATAACAAAAGCTTCTGGGTTTACATGTCCCCAACCAGCACAAACTGAATGATTTGTTTAAATCCTAGATATAAAATATTTAACTCATCGAAATTTTGTAGCATTATACAAAGCTGACTTGAGTTTGCCTTGATACCAGCATGTTGGATATTTGACTTAAAGGGTGTCATTTGTTTTTTTCATGTGTATAAATTCTTTTTAATTACATTGTAATAATTAATATACCATTTAACCAACATTTTTTCTCCTTTTATGTTAATGTCATTGTCAGTGATGGGACTAACGGCATTGAAAGTAACGGCGTTACTAACGCCGTTACCTTGTTTTAGTAACGAGTAATCTAACTAATTACTTGGACTGTAACTATAACGCAGTTACCATTGCCGACACCCCATTACTACGCGTTACTCAGGTCGCACAATGAACCTTTTTTCATGATAGGACTCGTGCGCGCCTTGTCATGAGAGAGGGGAGGATGAGCTTGGCTGATGTATAGTGAGATTCTGTCTGTCAGTTGGGTAGGTGGGTGTTTCTGCTGGTAGCCTTTCTCCATAGCCTATATGGAGAAAGGGAGAAATCTGGATGGATGGATGGATGGATGGATGGATGGATGGATGGATGGATGGATGGATGGATGGATGGATGGATGGATGGATGGATGGATGGATGGATGGATGGATGGATGGATGGATGGATGGATGGATGGATGGATGGATGGATGGATGGATGGATGGATACTCTGCCTTTTCGACCTACTGTATTTATTATTTTAAACATTATTTGATGGCCTTTGTGGCAGGGATGGAGATCCATATTTTATGTCACAGACAGAGTATATATGGATAGATAGATGGATAGATAGATGGATAGATAGATGATAGATAGATGTTGCAGTATCTATAACAACCCAAACACACAGGATTTCAGAAATAGACATCCCCAGTTATTAAGTTCATATACACACCAGATCTGAATGCCCTGTTAAAAAACTTCACATGGCGTTCCCCCCTGATGTCATTTACGTTGAGTTGCAATAAATGCTAAACTCTCTGCAGGTTCTTGTCTTTGTCGTCCGCTCTATTCAGCTGGCTTTGGAAACACACGGCGAGAAGGTGGGGGCTGGGTGGTGAGGTTTACGGGGGCGAGAAACGCAAAAGTAACGCAATAGTTACTTTTACTAGTAACTAGTTACTTTTATTGTGGAGTAACTCAGTTAGTAACTCAGTTACTTTTTGGGAGAAGTAACTAGTAACTATAACTAATTACTTTTTCAAAGTAACGTGCCCAACACTGGTCATTGTTACTTATGCTGTTTTGTATTGTAATCAAATACATGTTTTCATTTTACTATAATATAATAGGGCTTTAAAAAAAAAATCAATTTATTTAACTTTGCTAACAGTTAGTGTTAAAACGTTTAACTTTAAATTAGAAAGAGTAGAACACAACTGTGAACTTAAAGTATCAAATACTTTGCAGAGCCTCCTTTTAGAGCCAACCAGAGTGGTTTTTTTATCCAATCTTCTTTAATAAATAGTTTTAAGTTCAGTCAGAGTGGATGGACGGCATCACCAAACTTAAACCTTTGGGATGAATTAAGTCCTAACTTTAACTGGGCCAATCGCAGCCCATGAATGTGCTTTGAAAGGTTTCCTTACATTGACTCTTCCCTACAGCATGAAGCTGCCACTACCATGTTATACACTGGAGGTGGAGAGTTACTTTGTTCCACTAACAGCACGTTGCAAATAACGTTAAAAGTTATGTTGTATTAGACTAAAAAATATTTTTCCAGGTTTGCCATTTCTCCAATATAATAAAAGTAAACAGTTCTCCTTATGAAATTCTTCCTGCAGCTCTTTGATTTAGGCCACATCAGTCAAATGCACAACTTAAACCAGTCCTGTTAACAGATTGTCCCACCCGAGCAGTGGAACTCTGCAACACCTCCAGAGTTAGCATCGGCTACCTGAATTGCTTTTTGTTTCAAAATGTATGGAGTGAATTTTGTTCCATTATTGTTGCAAGCAAAGAAAGCATTTTGTAAATTAATATTTGCAAAACTAAATAAAATCCCGAAAACTCTGAAAAGTGTTTTTGTTAAAAACAAAAATTATTTCAGACTAACTTTGCCGTTTTCTCAGATTTTACACCTTCAATTTTTTTATTGGATTTTTGCATCTTTGTTAAATATATTTTTCTAAATCTCTTAAGTTTCTGTTTAGAGCTTATTTTTGAGTGTTACATTCTTTTTAAATTGTGTTTTTCAGATCCCATTCTCTTCACCTCTGGGAACATGCAACATTTCCATTGGTCAAGAGCGACCGTTTGTATCGAGCTTAAAGTGAAGAGAATGTGATCCTTAAAATGCACGTTGGAAAAAAATCCAATTAGTAAAACTAAATCTGAAAACAAAATTAGAAAAAAGAAAAAATCTATGTAAAAATATACATAAAATATAAAAAGAAAACATTTTTTTTTTTTACATAAAATCTTTTTCAGGATAAGACATTTGATTAGATTTTATTTAAAATTCAAACCACAGATTGCAATTTTGAAATTTCCATTTACAAAACAAAAAATTACAATTACAATGTAATATAGTGAAACCTTTTTGTTTGTGCTGTGACAGAAGTTGGAAAGGTTTAAGATGTTTTTGTTTTTTTTAAAAAGCAATGGATGTATGGCATTTAAAGTACTATGACCATGTCTAGTCAGTATATCATCATTGCTGAAAACATGAATCTGTTTATACTGACCGGTCTTCGTGGCTTCCAGTGCGCACATCCTTCATAGCAGCAAAACCACAGGGAACCCGAGCGAAGCGGTTGAGGTTTTCCAGGATGGTGCGACCTGCCTCCAGGTAGTAAGGGTCTCCTGTGGCCTGGTGGGAAAGGGAGCAAAGAGGTGGGGTCATTGGGAGCGTCCGTACATTAGCTATTAAAAGCCGTTAAAATGGAGGCTAAAACAAAGACAAACAATTTCACAGATGTTCCATAACATCGTCTGGCAGATAAGTAAATTATGATCGATCCTCTGACGGTGAAATAAGTCAGAATAATGGATATTTCCATCTATGCTGGGGCAGTGAAGAGAAAAGATATCACTTGGAAAATCACCTTATAAAGGAAGTAGGTGCTCTCTGCAAACTCGGGCCTCAGGGGATGCTGTGCCCAGTGTACCCTGAAATCAGTGGTGAACGCCTGAGGAAAAACAAAGAAGGGGGAAGCGGTCAGCACATCAGAGCAAACGAGGACCAGTAGACAAAACTAAAACATACAGAGCTTTGCTGGAGCGCTGCAATCATAAACATCACTGTAATGACAGCTGCAAATCTCTACAATTAACACACAAAAAAAAAAACACAAAAAAAATTAAAGTCCAACATATAATCAGCAGAGGTTTGCCTTCATTTGGAGTTAGTTTTAGTTGGGGAATACAAATCATGTTAAATCTGGTGCAGTAACAGATTACCTCTGGGAGGAAGTTGTGTTTTTTAGTAACCTGGTACAACATCTCATGAGTTTCGATAGCAGGACGGATATCTCCCTTCAACACCTGAAACATAAGCAACATTCATCGGGTTAAAGAAACTCCGAAATACCAGACAGGAGACCTGATCTTTGTGGACCAGCGCAAGCGGATCTGACCTGCAGACCGGGGAAGAAGGCCAGCAGGGAGTCCATCCAGGTGCGAGCAGGAAGCAGGGGTTTGTGGATGTGGACGTCCAGCAGCAGAGGAGGCTGGCTGATATATTTCATAATGGATGCATAGTGCTACACATGCAGGAGAGATGGGATATAGGAAACTACATTTTTAGATGCACATCCATGTCCCGAAGAGCTTAACGCCCCTGGAGTCATGACCTTAAGCCTGCTTAGCATTATTAAATATTTAATGCCAAGTATGAACAAATCAATAATAAACATATTATTCACTGAGTGCTTAAAGCTGAAAAACTGACATGGTTTTAACCACACATGATAAAACTGTCTAAAAATATGTATTTTAGGAATTTCCCATCATGCCCCTGGAGCATATGACAGAAAAGAGAGAGAAGTATCTCAGGTAATGGGCTAAAGCTCCGCTGATATTGACTCATGGACCCTCCTATCATTCATGATAGAAAACAGATCAATAGATGACGTCTGGGACCTTAAAAGCATGCCACGGAACATTATTTAGGACTTAGGAGATATAAAGAAGTTTAAAAGCATAATCTTGCTTCAGTATGTAAAGGGATGCTCTCATGACTAATGTTATTATAAAGGAGGGGAATCGATTTGCTCTATGGGGTGTGTGCATGTGTGCGTCCTCACAATATTAAAACGCTGCAGAAACAGGTCATCTCCCAGGAGGACGTAAGCCTTTAGCAGGTATTCATAGTAGGAGTCTATTCCTGCTCCAACGCCGCTGTCTGCAAGCAAACAGAAGAGATCTTTTAAAAGATTTCTGCTGCCTGACATGGAGATCAATGGCCAAGGGTTTCCTTTGAGGCCATCCAACCTTTGGTCCAAATGAACTGATATTTTTAAACTCCATGAACTCTCACCTCTTCTGACCCACTCTCCTGAGTGGATGTTAATGGTGGTCCCCACCAGGTTGCTGTGTCTCTGTCTCTTCTCCCACAGAAAGTCCAGGGCTCTCCGCGCATGGTCCTGCCAATGCATGAAAAACAGGTTACTACAAATCTAAAAAACAATAATAAATCTACAGTGTGTATTATTTACTGCCTGCTTCTCTGCTCCATCAGCAGTTCACAGCTGCCAAGGTAAATAATCAGTCTCTGGTTGAATCAGCATAACAGACTGCCTTGCTAAATTACAAATACACTCCCTGAACTTTCTGTTTTTTTTGTTTGTTTGTTTATTTGGTGAAGTTACACACAAATTGCCAGTGTTAGGAAAGTTCTCTTTCTACGTGAACTAGTTCAAAGTTCAGTTCACACATTTTAAAATGAACTAGTTCGGTTCATAGTTCATAATTCAAAATTTTGAACTAAGTTCACAGTTCCAAAAAATGAACTAGTTAATAATTCTTTTTTTTCATATATTGCTCAATTACACCATAGCCTACTGTAGAACCACAGACAGCAATTATTTTATCAGTTGTAACACTCAAACTGTGCGTCAGATTTCATCTTCATATCCAGTTTTGAATCCTTATCCAACCAGGGTTTACATTAGCATTGAGGGGACAGCATTTCCCCATTGTTGCTTTAATGCTTTGTTGCTGTCCATTCACTTCACACTAGTAGCAGCTGCAGCTTTCACCCCTACAGTATATTCTCAAAAACATCAGGAAAAATGTGCTGCTTGAATGGTCTTTTTTATGAGTAATTATTAAAAGAAAAACAGGAAAGTTGTCTTTAAGGTGCAAATGTTTTTTTAATTTTAATATTTTTTTCCATTTGAAATTCCATTTCAGTACATACTAAGAAGGAATCCTGGAATCCTGGAAAATTATACCAGGCAGGTTTAAGTGCCGATTTTTTTACTGAAAGCCGGCGGGCAAAGTTTGCAGAGAAATTTAAGATTGTTGCCATCATCCTCACCGACCACCTGGTCATAAAACTGTTTTAAGTGATCATACTGCTGCTTTGTCGCCTCCATGGTTGTCTCCATGCTGCTGCGGCTTCCACGCTGCAATTTGTTTCGATGACGCACGCGGCTGTAGGCTACGACAATGGTAGCTGGTGTTGCCAGATTGGGTGTTTTTCCCGCTACATATTAAGGCCTGTTTACGGTGTGATTTAGCCGGGGTTTCGCCTGGAGGACTCTATAGAAATTTGGCAACCTATTGAACGGAGCTGAACTGAGAGAGCGTGCCGTTCACAGACACCAGAATGAACGAGTTCACAATAACGTTCATCAGGCAGTAATACAGTACGTTCAGTTCACGTTCGACCAAAATATGAACGAGTTCATGAACTTTCGTTCAATGAACGCGTTCAGGCACAACACTGCAAATTGCTAGCATCACAAAGTTGTGTGTGACTATGCATGACTGTGAAGTGGTGGGAAAATCATATGTGCTTTTGCTTTTTCATTAAGAATCAAAACTGAAAAGTGTGACCTAGTAGCAAGACGAAAGCCACAACAGGCCAAGATAAAGTTTTTTGGCCCACATACGAAGCCCTGTGCTTGGCAGAAAACCAACACTACTCATTACCCCAGGCACAGCATTCCCACAGTGAAACACGGTGGTGGCAGCATCGAGAACAGGGAAGCTGCTTAGAGTTAATGAGAAGACAAAGGGGAGTAGAGAGAGAATTAAAACTTCTTGTCAGGTACTCTTTAAATATTCTACCTTTCCACAAGTTGTTGTTTTTTTTTTTCTTCCTATCGTCTAACACTTCACTGTTATCAGTGACATATGTTTGTTTTTCCTGCTGCCGTCTCTAGAAGCAGACATCTGCTGTGAGAAAGACATCTGTAAACTAAAGCAAACTAAACCCAGTCAAGAGCTGACTGAGTTTACTTTTACAAAAGGTGTTCAGGTACTTTCACAGATATGTTTTACATTTCTGCAGCACTAATTCATTTTGTATTACTATATGAGTTTTAATCAAATGGTTTATGCATTACAGGCCATTATTTTCCAACTATAACCTAAAGTAGCAAAAATAAAAAATGTAGATGCATTAACTAAATCCGCCTCTTAGATGATTTGCATTGTTCCTTGGAGAAAAAGAATAGAAACATGAACAATGATGCACTTTCTAGATCAGAGCTTTCTTTCCTATAACACAAAAGTCAACTAATAAGGCAGCGTTTATTCAACCACACCTTTAGATTTCAGTAGCTTTTAAGTAAACAACACCAAACAGGATGTCTTGAGGCTGGAATAAACCTAACCACCAACAGCTAACTAGCTACTTGAATCTGTATTAAAGCATATTTCTGAGATATTTTATCTGATTAGTGTATAAACAAGTTTGATCTGTGCAAAACTGTAAGCTTGAATAGATACCAAATTGTCTTATTTTCTATTCATGATCTTAAGTAAGCTAGATGTACTTGATGGATGGAGCTAAAGTATTTGATGCTTTATACACGAATGTCTTTTCTGCAGGGTTATAAGCTTTGTGGTAAAGTTTTTACATAAATTACATTCCCACACTGGCTCTAAAATATAACTTATTTTGTTTTATGAGTCAGACCAGTTTAGCACAAAAATTATCAGTCAAATATAACCCTAAAAACTGGAGGTTAATATAAACAGGTTGATTATCACGCTGATGAATGGAGTTTCTACCTCAAACACAGGGTCTCCGGTGAAGCGGCTTAAGGCAGCAAACTCCAGGATCATGGTGCCTGCGCACGCCGTGCAGGTGTCCGTTTCTGTACCAGTCCTTGTCTCTGGTCCCCTGACGCCATGTTTCAAGTTTATCTTGTAATTAAAAGAGAGAAAAAAAATGAAGCATTAAAGACCTGTTTTTTGTTTGATTGATTTGCAACAGACTCCACGCAGAAACAAGTCAAGCATGAAATTGTCTTCAGAGCTCTCTCAGTCTCAGGCGGTGCAGTAAAGCGAAAAATACAAATAAGTTTTGATCCGAGACGGATTGCATCTTATTTGCATTTTAAAAGTTTATTGTTTGGAATGAATTAAAAATACATATTTTAATAGAATACACAAAGATGTTTTTTCTGCTATATGACAATTACAATAAGATTTTACTTTATTTCTGAGCATGTTATGATGAGAACTGCGACAGTCTGAAGGTGAATTAGAGTCCGTCTCACCCTGGGATAAGGCAGGCCGCTGCTGGTGTTGAAGGCTGGCAGCAGTCGGAGTCCCAAGTCTTTGGCCATATGCAGAAGCTCATCTTTGTACCACTGCATGTGCCCTCCTCCCTCTTTCAGCATCACAGCCATAGAATGGCCACCAAGAAGACCCCTGTGAGAAAATGGTAAAAAAATAAAAATATAACATCAGTGCAACAGAAGCCACTGCGTCTCTTATTTTGTATCAAGTCAGATCAGGTGTCCAGTGTTTACTTAAGCCTCTCAGTAAAATAAGTTGTCATAGATAATACTACAGAAATAAGAAATATATGTTGCCAGGTTAGTTAAATCTCACCCAAGGACTCGGATGTTAGTTTCAAAGACTGACACCACGATGTCGTTATCCAGCCGCACATCTGAAAGGACTCTCCTGACAGCAGCTTCAAACTCTGTCGTCTTATTCAGCAGCTGCAGAAAAAAGACAAAATCAACCACAGTTACAAGGCAAATAAAAGCAGTTTAAAGCTAAAAAAATAAATAAATAAATACAAGCCAAGCTAAAACTAAAAGATTATGTAAATTTTACGGAATTTGTATTTGTTTGGTTTTTATTGCTTTGCTTGTTTTCTTTATTTTTGTCTAACTTTACAGTTTAGGAAAAGCGAATTACTTTGATATCACCCGACTAATTTGACCAATGTTGTTAAGCTGTGCTATTCTGGGATCAGTGGATTCTTGTAGATTCTTCTCTGAATGCTTTTATTGTGCAGAAGAACCCCTGCTACATTTACAAATTGTTGTACATACAATATTATTCAACAAATCATGCAAAGTAACTAAATATCAAGAATACTCACCACCAAAGTGTCCAAGGTGTCTATGAGGGTCAAAGAAAACCTAGAAGAGACAGAAAATTAATCTTAAATATAAAGTTAATTATTACTCAACAGATAAGGAGTCTTTTTTTGGTATTTCATGGTATTTATTACAATGATAGAAAAAGACCTTTGACATTTATTCATCACATTTTTTTGTCATAAATCTGCGACTGTGTTTAGTCATGAAAACAACCACTCGTCTAATATCAAAACATACTGCAATGGTTACCTCTTATCAGAGCTACGTAAGTGCCAAACATCTCAGAACAGATGAAATGAATCATAATTTAAAGCAAAAACAGAACCCTTTGATGATGAGCTCATTAAAAAAATCTCCTTTACATAGTCAATTTCTGGCTTTTGCAAAAATTGACCCTAAGGAGTTAATCGTTATAATCAAAGGATGAATTTTTAATATAACACATTTTTTGTTCCCACAGTAACATGAAACAGAAAAACAAAACAATGCATGCTACTTACTTCCCAAGTGCATCATCAACGTCTCCTCGACTGGGTTCAAGCCCACGTACCCTACCTCTGCAGGTCAGAGGCATCAGCTCATCTGCGGGGTATGCATGATCCTGGAATGATGAAAAAAAAAAAAAAGGGATTTCCATGATGCAGAATTTTTGTTTTTAAACAGAATATGACCAAACTGTTCAAAACAAATGAATGGTTAAACATAAAGCTGTGGACAAGATTGTGCTGCATAAGTATTCAGATGTTCAGATACATATACCAAGTCAAGAAAGTTTTAAACACAAATGAAATCTTACCATGTAATTCTGATAAGCATGGTCAAACATCTCCACCACCTGGTTCCTTTAATAAAAACACAAAACATTAGTATAAAGTTATTTTTCTGTCATTTATCAATCAGGTCATTTAACTTACCTTAACTTTTGCTTCTCCTCTCGGGACATAGCATCTCCAAAATGGCATAATGCTCCCAAGAGCATCAACAGGCCAAGAACAGGTTGCATGTTAGGAAGTGTGGGGATGATCGCAGCAATGAGCACACAGCTGCAGTTTATACCAAAGATCCAGTCATCACCACAACCCTGACCCAAACAGACACCATGACACTCACCCACTTACGCCTTTGAGTTCATATCTTTAAGTTAATCTGATCTACAGCGAATCCAAAGGTTAATATCTGCGCCCCCAACAAATAAAAGTGCAATCCAAGGGTTGAGAGGAATGTTGTTTCTTTCAAGTACTTAGATGTCAAAGTAAATGCACAAGAAATGAGATGTGAGCAGTGCAAACAGTTTCAGGTCCTGTTTACCTTTCCAAACTGTCACCTGAACCCATGCCACACACCCACAAGGAAGAGACAGACATTTAAACTCTGCATTTAAGCAAACACCTTCAGTTAAACAAAACCAAACGTGCCAATGACAAGGGAATCATCTAATCTGGTAATTAAGGCCAGCGATATAAACACTAATGTGTAACGATCAGTTTTCAATGTCGTTATAACAGTTCAGCATGACTTTAACCAAACAAGATAGAACTAAATACTTTAAAAAAATATATATCTACAACCCCGAGTACGCTCTTCCCATAGCTAGAAAGTTAGCTTTCAAAGACACAAGTTAATGATTTCCTCCGCTTGACAGTTTTCCATCTCTCGTCAGCAGCCAAGCACTTGTCAAAGCTTAATTAGCTAGCAATGCTAATAAAAACAGTGCAAATGACAACGCCCGAATCTTGTTTCCTAAATATATTTTCAAATAGCGTCCTAGTTGTTAGACAGCAAAGGTTGTCGGGCTAATTCCTCGGTAATTTAGCACCTAAAGTGAGTTAACTCGCCGAGTACATGGGGTTCCGCTTACAAACTAGCCGTCTTCCTAGCCGGATACTCTAAGGAAACGTCAACAACATCCGCTTCCGTTTCTTTACCCTGAGTTTAGTTTTCCGGGCACAAATTTACTTCAGACGGATTTACATTTCGCACCGAATCTCGAGATGTGCTCATAGATTTTTTAAAACGTGTAATTGTTTATCCTCTGCATCACATGTTAGATTTCCCTGTGAACTACCCGACTGAGAATAAACCTGCAGCCTGACAGTCTGTGCTCAGGATATAAATTATTTTGTGCATTACATCTCAGCTCTGACCCCTTTCAAAGTTACTCGGAAACACTTGTTTTCGGCAGTTTAACAAACAAACAAACAAACAAAAAACTTTAGTATCGATCACTTATGTCCCTCTTTCCCTTTTTTGCATAACGAGACAAAAAAACGCATCTATATCGAGGAAAAAATCGATTATTTTGGCATATTTGAGCTGTTTTCCGCTTTTTGTTCAAAACGTTTAGGTAACAATTCAATCTCGTGGGACCAGAAAGTACACATTTTAAAAAGCACAGAATTTTTTTTACTTTTCTTTCTTTTTTTCGCAAATTGTTCCTTGTGGGAGTTTAGCACTTGATCGCCAAAATTCCTATAACATCTAAAGGCATCAGATGATTCATACATTAAAAATGTTGCCGTATATATTTTGAAATATGGTGCATGGAGGACCAGCTCTACCATGTTAAAAAATAAATAAATAGCACGCGTCGAAAGTTAATGTGTTTGAAATATGATCTCTGTATTGTTTGTTTCCGTTGGTTTTTTTTTTTCTTTAATTTTGCATGAACTACGTATCCCATGATCCTCTGCGATCGTGACGTTTCAGATATTTTCACATGACCGTAAAACAAGCAAATCTCTGGCGAATGCAAAAATCCTACCGTTAAAAATGTTTAAAACATTGCGCTAAGACCGTCACTGAAGGACAGAGGTAGGATGGAAGTTATATTTATTTATATTTATTTTTCGTTAAACCACGTTTTAACGGACTATGTACAAAAATATATGGATATTTTTTTTAACGTTGTTTTCTTTTTCTTTATATATATATATATATATATATATATATATATATATATATATATATATATATATATATATATATATATATATATATATATATATATATATATATATATATTCTTTGTATTAAAGGTGTCACCTCACAATATTTTTGTAAATATTCAAAACCAGTCACAGTTAGGATTTGTTTTTCAGTATCCTGTGCATATTTGACATGCCTTTGTTAGTTAAACATTGCCTTTTTTTTATGAAATAGGAATATTAGCCACTTCAACAGCAACAAAAGTTGCTTAGTAGACGTTTTATAGAAAACCGTCAACTAAGCAACTTTTGCGCAGCATTTTCTCCTCCTCTGGTGATTTTTACTCAAAAACTCAGAATCAGGAAGATTAAAGAGGATATGACTCAACAGGAATTTAGAAAATTTTGTAAATAATGCCAAATAGGAAAGAAAATGCTGTAGAAATGTTAACATTAATTACAAAGAGTAAGAGGATGATAAAATAACTTAGTATAGGGTATGCTTTCAGACCAAAAAAATAAATAAATAAAATTAGGTTTGCTTCATGCATTTATAAATATGCAGGTTCTTTAAATAAACAATAAACAAAGAAAGTTAGTAAGGAAGATTTGATACCTGTTGAGTTAGATTAAACATTTTTCACACAAACCATCAAAGCAAAAACTAAAATATTTTTCCACATTCTTTATTTTTTTCTCATGCCATTATCTTTTAAGGGTGTTGTTATATATATACACCACTATGGCAAGTTTATGATTTGAATCTTTAGGCAAAGGACTTGCTAGTCCTGGCTTTAGAATGATAAAGACTTGAGAAATACGTGGGACTTGGAAAAGTAAAGATTAAGCATCTGTGCAATTAGATTAGAATAATATGAAAAAATAAAACAAATCGAGCCAATCTGTGAGGACTTCAGAATCTTGTAGAACAGTATGGAGCAACAGCATCATGATAAACAAATAGCATGGCAGGCAGAGCAAAAATAAAGCTGTGAAGAAATTTAAAGAAGAGCTCCACTGCTCAAAACTCTGAGCAAATCTACCAAGACATTCATTTTCCTTAAAGCAAAGAGAGAGTTAGTCAAGGAAGCAGACAAAAGCATTTAGTAACTCGTTAGGACCTGCAGGTATCTGGATCTGGGGATCTGTTTTACAGGTCAACTGTAGTCTGCAGTTTGGAAAAATCCACTTAAGAAACACAGCAAACATGTCAAAGAAGCCTTGGGTTCCAATGAAAAACCAAAAAAGATTTTTGGTTTTACCTTAGTTGCCTTGTTAAATCTGCAAGACTCATGTCTGCCTCCTGGTCTCTGCATTTGGGTCCTCAAAAACCACCACCCAACTGTGACAGATACAGAGCAAACCTGAAAGAAAACATGTTTAACCCTCTAAAAAACCTGATATTTGAGTCTAATTACAGGCTAAAATTTCCTGCCAAATGTAGGAAAGGCTTGAAAATGAACACACATTAGCAGTGTCTTTATTAACATGAGCTAGTTTGCAGAGGATGTGAAAAAGTTTCAATCTCCAAATGAAATATCTGAAAACTTTAGTGACTCTTGGGTAGAGAAAATAAAAGCTCCACAAATGTGAGATATAAGTCATTGTATGTTTTGATCATGCAGTGTGTGCCAAAAATAATGAAGTAAGTTGAGTGTCGGACGTTTGGTTTCGGTAATTCAATCAGCTTATCAGCTTATATTACTAAACAAATACGTCTTTAATCTCAGTTTAAAGAAATTTAGGGGTTTCAAAACCTTAACAGTTTTCTGAAGTTTTTTTTTTTAGATTAATAATAAGAACTGAAGACTGCTTCTCCATGTTTCTCACTCTGGGTATTCAGAGTAACTTTGGTATTTTATCTTTAATGCATTCTGTTGCCAAGCCAAAAGTAACTTATAGACTAAAAACAGTATTTTAAAGTCTATTCTCTTAGATATGTGGAGTCAGTGTAATGACTGTAGAACTGGGTGGTGTGCTCCACCATCTTAATTTTAGTGAGGACACAGGCAGCAGCATTCTGGATCAACTGCAGCTGTTTGATAATAATCATTTCTACTAAAGGTGAATGAATTAATTTGTTTTCACAATCATGCTGAGATTTTAATCCATTAAGGTTCAGGTCTGAGTCCATCACTACACCCAGATTAAGTGATGGACTCCTATTGTCACTCGTGCAATATTATACTCTCTTACTGTGCAATAACACATACCAACTACTGTGCAGCCTGTGTAATTTTTTACTTACTTTATAAGGTCAGTACATATCTGCAGTACAAGTGCAATAATCCAAGTCAAATACTGCGTAGTCTTTTCTTAGCTCTCTACTGTGCAGATATTTTTACATCTAAGAGAAACATATTCCAGGACATTACAACTTTTTTCTTTTTTATACTTTTTTATACTATATAGATTCTTTTTATATTACCTGTTGTATTTCTATCTCTAAGGGCATGTTGCTTTAACTCTTTGTAGTCTATATAAGCTACTGGAACCAGAATTTCCCTGAAGGAGTAATCCCAAGGGATAAATAAAGTTGAGTCTTAGTCTAAGATTTAAAGCATGATGGTTTATTGTTGTAATAACTGAACTGTGTTCTCACTCTCTTCCATTCCAAAGAAATATAGTGAAATATACGGAGTTGATACCTTGGAGTTCACCAGTCCTTCCTAACCTGGTATGTCAGATCACTGTGTTTATTTCATAACGTCAAATCTTTGTATTGGAAATGAAATAAATATTTTTTCTAGGAAACAGAATCTGGGGTTACCTAAAATTATGTATTATCAGTTGAAAGGTTTGCAACCTAAATGTTAGCAGTGAAGAGGTCAGACCATGTAAATGATTTATCTGCACAGACAGTCTACACATGTTAGGAGTCAGAGGTCAGACAGATAAACAGTTGTGCTGGGTATCAAAAACAAATATCTTAGGTGATAGTAGAAGAGATTTAAGGTGGATCTTAAAAGGAGGAGGATTTAAAGAGATACAAAAAACTGATGATTTACATAAAAGAAAAATATATTACTAAGCGTAATTTGGGAAAAAGTGAACATGTTTAAATTACTGGATGCATGCATTGATCTAATCTGACCGTCTGCATGTTTTCAATGCCGTTTCATGATTCTAATTGTGCTTTTACAAGACACTTAATCCCGTTTAATGGCACTGACAGCAAAAAACAGGTTAGGAAATACCATTGTGCAGTATTTGACAGTAGATGGCAGTATGCACAGTGAAGTTGTTTTTGAAGCTGCCAGGAAGTAGATGAAATAAGGAGAGAGAGAGAAAAATAGGATTTTCTTGGTAGCTCCAGGGCTAATAACTGGGTACACACTGCTAATATGCTTGTTGTTTCTCACAGTGCTTGAAAATAGTCAGTAAACAGTCTCATGTCTTTCTTTGCGGGCTAGCTGTTTAGTTGTACTTCCTGTTCCTGCTTCTGTGTTTATGTGTGTTAGCTTAGATTGTTGATTCAACAATGGCTCCTGCTGCTGACGGAAAGGTGACAGGTCTGCTGGCAGCCACCTTCACTCCTCTCACTGCGCAAGGGTAAGGATCCTTTAGAAGCTCCTCTAACACTGCAAACCTTTACATCTTTTAGTGATCTATTTGTATAACTGAGTGTGTGTGAGACAGAAAGAGATATGATGATGATATGAGGAGAGTGAGTGTGTATTAGTTAAGACCTGACATGTATAGCCATCATCATTCTATACATTTGGTGTTTCTCTTTCATTTTGTATTCCACCATATGCATGGAACTATATTTTTCCTGTTTTCCCCAAAACAGTGAAGTCAACTTATCAGTGATTGGACCTTATGTTGACTACTTGAAAGAAAAGCAAGGTGTAAAGGGCATATTTGGTAAGTTCAAAATAGGGATTCCTTCTGTTGATCTTCATTATGTCTGATATGTTCCCGCATTATATCAGTATTAATCCTCTCATGCATGAATTATGATAAACCCAGTCAGGATTTTTTTTTTGGTGTT